GCAAAACGAACTGAACTGAACTGAACTTATAAAAACTATACTGAACTTAAAAGTAGTTCATATGAACTGAACTAAACTAAATATTAGTTCAGACGAACTGAACTGAACTATTCTTTTGTGTCATTGAACTGAACTGAACTATACTATAAAAACTTGAACTGAACTGCAATTTAAACTGCACTAAACTGTTATGATATTTTGAATTGAACAATTTTGACTCATTGATCTATCAAAATAGGACACATTTGTCAACTTTACTTTATTTTCCATTTTATTTAAATTTTTCAAAGGAAAAAAATATAAAATTAAGTCAAACAAACTCAGTGAATTTTACGCCTAAAAATAAGTAGTTCAACATAGCTCAATTGATCCGTTAAGTTCAACAAAATTGATACAATTTTTTTTCAAATCACTTTTTTTCTAAAATTTTGGTTATTAAACTATCGAACTAATCTATTAAGACATAACATGTTAAACACATTTAATTTTTATTCTTTTATAAAAATAGTTCAATTTTTATAATTCAGTTCAGTTTTTATAGTTCAGTACAGTTCAACTTTACAACAGTTCAGTTCAGTTCAGTTTTTTTTAAACAGTTCAGTTCAGTTTTTTTTACAAACAGTTCAATTTTTTATAGTACAGTTCACCACAAGTTCAGTTCAGTTCAGTTCAGTTTAGTTTTTTTTGCCCACCCCTGTTTGCGGTCATAATGAGGCCACAGTATCAGCTTGTAAGTTCTGAGAGCCACACACGTTTCCTGTCGCCATTTGGGTTTTGAAAAGCACGATTTATATTAATTTGTTTTTTTTATAAAAAAAAAACTTTAAACTAGCCCGAACAAAAATTCTTTTCTTTTTATTGTCCAATTAAAATATAACTTTCAGCTTTTAAAATTTGAAAAGAGAAATTTATGTAGTTTAAACTTTAAACCTCGACTTAGAGTTTCCTTTGTATAGTTTCATAGTTTGTCATCCGTAGCCACGTACGTGTCACGCTGCATGTTGAGCTTTATCACTACATGCTGCCACCTTTCCATACACTGCCACGTAATGGTGACCGAAGAAAACACCATTAAAAGCGAGGCACAAGAAGATCAAGCTGAAACACGAAAATGGTGGCAAAGCCAGGCCCGTCTATCACGTGCTTGGCACGTGCTTCACTCTTCCTCTGTGCTCTAACCCTATGCTCCGCTCTAGAAAGCCACGAACTCACGATTAAGGACGTGACTACGAAGCTGAGGCTCGGCGACAACGAGGTTCTGCGCACGGAGAAGAAGTTCAAGGTTTTCATGGAGAATTACGGGAAAAGGTACTCCACCAGGGAAGAGTATTTGCGCCGTTTAGGGATTTTCGCACACAACTTGGTCAGAGCGGCGGAGCACCAGGCGCTCGACCCCACTGCCGTCCACGGCGTCACGCAGTTCTCCGATCTCACCGAGGACGAGTTTCAGCGGTTCTATACTGGCGTCAATGGAGGCTTCCCGTCGAATAATGGTGTAGCGCCGCCGCTTGAGGTGGATGACCTGCCAGAGAATTTTGATTGGAGATAGAAAGGAGTTGTCACTGAAGTCAAAACGCAGGTCTATATAAACTTAGGGTTTCATTTTTCTTCATCTCATCGGAATTATTTGTTTTTGCCTTAATTAAGTGCATGTGCTTATATATTTTTTAGTGTTAAAATAAAAAAATATAATAATTAATAAAAATGTGATAATCAAAATCATTATTAAAAGATGTATCTCATTTATATATTAATATAGATTTAACATATGAAAAGTCACAATTATATATATATGATAGTAAATTGTAAAATATATTTGTCAATGGCACACCTTCCAAGTAAATGTTTGTGTATCAAATTAATATCTACCTTTATTCGCCAATTTTAAATTTTAAATTTATTCGCATGTTAATTAATTAGATAAAAAAATTAAAAAGATTATTATAATTTTTTTAAAAAAAATCTTAAATTACTGTTTGTAAGATATCAATTCATATTTAGTATTTAAAAATTAATAATATTCAATTGATAGAAATATTTGACATTTTTCTACAAACAAAATTATTTTACTTTATTTAAATATATTATTAATATAGATAACTTTTTACATTTTTATGATAATTAATTAAAATATTAAAATTATCTTATATAATCTGTGAGTTGTGTAGTCGATGGTGGATTGATGTGAGAGCAAGTCTACTTTTTTGTTTTAATTAAATTATTAATATATTTTTAAAATATTATGTTTTATAATCTTTAATTTTATATATTAAACTTAATAATAATTATTTTTAATATTTATATTTTACTCTATATGTATGATTATTTTTTTTAAAAAAATTACTCCTACGATCTTAAGGTCTTATATATTAAACTTAATAATAATTATTATAGGTACGTTTTTTTTATTTGTAAGAATAATTTTTTTTTTTAAAACAAATTATCATTCTTTTATCGTTTTTATAAATCTGGTAAAAATAATCTACAATGCTAGTTGAATAAGCTATTTAATTGAAATAAAAATATTTGATAGTTATAACTTAAATGATAACTATAGAATAACATATTTAATGGTTTGAGGTGAAACAATTTTAAATAAGTAATTAAAGATAATATATATATATATATATATATATATATATATATATATAT